GAAAGAGTCACCAAGTGACACTGCATTGTACCGCACTTAGCTGAGTTGAATTTTTTTGGTGAGGTTTGATTTTTCTAGTTGAAACTTAAGTTTTACGTGTGTGGGGGGGGGGGGCTGCCATAGAGTCTGCCCTCTGAACCTGCCATTCCCTGTAGGAGAGCTGATCTCCGTAGTTTGGAGATCAATTGTAATTCTGAAGGAATTCCACTCCACAGCTAGAGACTGGAAACCCTACCTGGGGGCCACTGTTGAAAAAGCCCTCTGCTGTATGCTCACTAACATCACATCTTCTAAGGCAGTCATGTGGAAAAGGATAGTGCTGTTAAATCTTATGGATAGACTCCTATAGATACCAACCAAAATGTATTTTTCATAGCGGTGTTAAGAATGTCACTGCCTTCTTTATTAAGAATGTCACTGCCTCCTTTAATGAGGAGCTTCCCCCCTCCCAGCAGAGTAGCATATGAAATGTTATTCTCTGTTATGAAGATAGACAAGGGAACCCCACAACATCTAAAAGTACCATTATGGAATACAAACTCCGCCAGTGGGATAGGAGGAATTTCTTCCTTAATGTAAGATGTGTCATTTTCTCCTGATCCTAGTATAACTTTTAACAACAAATAATAACTTTCAGTAGAGGACAGAACATTTCCAGAGTAGTAGTTAGAATTTCTAGGAAAATGTTTCATAATACATGAACTATGCTGCAATATATATATCCCTCAAAATCCCATGCTGGGAGTTCCATAACAGAGACCCCATAAATGTGTCAGTACAGCTTGTGACGTGATAGATGTGACCACATGACAAATCCTCAGTATTCTGTATTTATGCAAATCTCATATAAAGCTTGAGCATATTTGGCTCCGACCTGAAATTATTTTATTCCCACTCTTTTCAAAAGTAGTTCCAGAAATGTGAATATCTATTTAAGTAAAAATTCCAAGAACTATGATATCTTGAAGGGTTTTTGTTTTGTTTTTAGCAATTATGGAATCTGTCTGATTGCAGTATAAATTAGATTGCTATTTGTGATATATCTCTTGCTATCACTAGTATATGCACCTACAAACTATACTTAGTTGGGCCAGTTTGGTGTAGTGGTTAAATGTGTGGACTCTAATCTGGGAGAACTGGGTTTGATTCCCCACTCTTCCTCCTGCAGCTGCTGGATTACCTTGGGCAAGCCATAGTTCTGTCAGAGCTGTTCTCTTAAGGACAGTTCCGGAAAGAGCTCTCTCAGCTCCACCCACCTCACAGGGTGTCTGTTGTCGGGAGGGGAAGGGAAAGGAGTTTGTAAGCCACTCTGAGACTCTAAGTGAAGGGCAGGGTATAAATCCAATCTCCTCCTCCTCCTCTTTCTTCTTCTTCACTATATCTAATAATATGTCTTGCATCTTATTATGTATTTCATTTTCAGTTGTGACAACAAATACTAAAAATGCAATTATTTCCTTTTAAATAATGGCCTAGTTTTGAAAAAAAATGATTTGACAAAACTCAAGGAGAGAGAGAACATTTCCATATTTGAAAACTCCCCCTATTCCCTTTCTCCATAAATCTGGTTATGTTGCAAGTCTAATGGGTATCCATACAAGCTGAGAATTCTGACTTCACGTATGAAGAGCTCCTGAATGGACTTTCAAGCAATATAAAACTATCTTCAGACTCAGTCATATTAAGAGATCACATTTCCTGAGAACCAGGTGTCTAACAGACATTTAACCTTGGAAAAATGTCTATAGTACAGCCTTACTCATAGACATTTTTATGAAGAAGTGGCAGGGCTGTAGTTTAGAGATTTGGCCTAGGTTCACCAGGAGCTGGTGCTGAATGAGTGGTGAAGGAATGAATGAGTTTGCTTCCTTCAAGCAGAAATCCTCTTTCCTGAGCTAGGGTCACCATGTGAATGGCTGATCCCCTGGATGCTCTGCTTGCACAATTTATCCTCCACAAAAATGGGGGGCATCTTTGCTAGGGGGAAAAAAGTTTGTTTACTGACATACAACCTACCCTGTGTAAAGTGCTGTCAAGTCGTAGCCAATTTATGATAACCCAGCAAGGGGCTTTCAAGGCAATTGAAAAGCAGAAGTGGTTTGCATTGCCTACCTCTACAGTCTTCCTTGGAGGTCATCCATCCAAGTATTAATCAGGGCTGACCATGCTTAGCTTCTGAGATGTGACGAGATCGATCAGTACCGTACCACCTTTCCTCCTACAAATTACCATAATGGTTTTGATATCTGTGGAATAAAAAAGAGAGAAACTCTTAAGATAGTCACCATGTTTTACAATAGTATTTCATAATGCAACCATTTGTTTTGCAATAATTAAGGACTTGGATGCAATGGATCATTTCCATGAATAGAACATCTTCCTCCCAGAGAACACAACTTTCTTGCCTCCTTTCACAACAGCCCACAATTCCCCCTGAAATTCTTTTCCTGGGTGCCTCCTGTTCCCTTGAGACAGAATCTGAGAGGCATCTTGGGCTGTAGTAAGAAAGTTATGCTCCATAGCCAGCAGTCATTCTGTTCATGAAAACTACCTGTTGGATCCAGGCCAACATGCAGTTGAAAATATATCATGACCTTACTTCCACTTGTGTTCCTCTTCATCAGTCAGTGTGGTGTAGTGGTTAGAGTGTCAGGCTAGGATCTGAGAGACCAAGGAAAGTTATACATTGTCAGCCTAACCTACCAGGCATGAGAGAAAACAACTAGCACTAAAGGAACACACGCTGTAGCAGACAAAGAGGAGCACTAGCAGAATCAAGGTATCGAATCCAAGCCTATATGAATTAATATTGGAAGCCATACCAGAAATTAAAGATTTGCTCTCAAAGATAATACAGTATGGCGAAAGGCTTGCAACAAGTTCCAGATATCTAGGGTAAGCACAATATAATCTCATGTATTTGATGGTTCTTCATTGGTGATGCTGCTGTGCACAAGCAAAGTGCTATTGGAAAATAATTTTTGGCCACTGTATGACAGAATGTTGGACTGGATGGGCCATTGGCCCGATCCAACATTGGCTTCTCTTATGTTCTTTTTGGATACCTGCCTGATTTGGGAAATTTATATCCTCATTTTTGATCCCTTGACAATCTCGGCAAATGGAATCACTGACTCCAACAGTTTACTGTACTGTTCAGATCTATTTTGGCTAATATATGGGTGGCAACAAAAGCTTTCTGTACCTGATATCAGGAGGATAAAAGGGTTGCATCTAGTTCTAGACAGCAAAGAACAATTTTGGACATCATAGAAATGAAAAAAAATTAACTGAAATAATATAAAGGTGAAATTAGATCCTACTAGAACAGAGCTTGGCAGATTTTGATTAATTACTGGACCACAACTAAAAAGAGATCTTCATGAAATGTCATGTTGGTTATTTTATAATGTAATGTCTGTAATTCTTTCTTCTTTTTAAATATAAAAATTATTTTAAAGGGGTGTGAGTGGGGAAGAATTTGTGCAAACAGGACCATAATCTCTTTTGAAGCTCAACACTTTTTAGCCATTCTAATTTTTTTTCAAACAAAAGACAAGGGGGGGGGGAGTTACCTTCAAATGCATGATTGGTAAGAAACAATTGATTTAAAATGGCACAAAATAGACCTAGATAAGCCTTACATTTTGGCAAACTCAACTGGATTTTGTGACATCTGTAAGTATTTTTTCAAATCAAACATCATCATGCACAGAAGGCATAGCCTGAGACCCTGAAATGGATAAATTTACTCCTTAATGTCAAAATAGTAGAAAATAGTTATAAATCATAAGATTAGAAAAGTAAAAAAATGCCAGCCAACGTTCTGTTACGTCATGCACCAAAAACGGGTGTGTTTTTTTAGTTAAAGAACCTAATCTAAATACAGCCTGGGTGTCTTTTACATTTACATGCTTGCTGCTGCTTAATTCTTCATGTAGGTACCACGAGCTCAGTTGTCATTTTCAATATTCTCAAGAAGGCAACGAATTTAATGGAAATGAATAATTGCACTGGCTTTGCCACTGACAGATGAAGCTGCAAACCAACCTGGGAAGTGTTATTTCTCTCCTAAAGCTGAGCACGTCCTACATAGAGACTATTAGAACATTAACTTCTCTTTCTGTGTTTGAGTCAGATTTCTTTTAAGGTAACCTGCAGACATTTGTTTTAATAAAAGTATCTGCTTTACATTTTTAGACCAGATTCTGCTCCATCAAAATCATCAGACAAATGCTTTTCATCAAAAGAGAAGCCTTTGGAAACAGAAAAATCATCCAGCGATCCAGAAGATCTATTTGATGATATCTAACTAAACCAGGGGAAGACTTTGACTTCACTACGTATTAAAACTCTTAAATTTTAATTAATCATCTGTCTGTCCCAAAGACAACATTTTACAAAAGGGACAGGATGGGTTTATTGGTACTTTTTTCTTTTTTGAATAAAGTTTTTGTGTGCAAGCCCTATTGTTGTCAACAGTTTTCACTCAGCACTTTAAAGATTCTGGACAGTTGATATGTATGTGCTAAGCTGTGGATCAGCAAGTTTGGCATGGAATTAACCTGACCACCAATGTGGCAGAAATAAGAGCAGTGAGTGAAGAGTAAAAGATATAGTCCATAAATAGGGGCAAAAGGGTATTTTATAAATTGTACAGCATTATCAAAGAGTAGGATTTTTCCCAATTTCAAAGCCTGATGAAATGCCTCCAGTTTGGCTGCAGTTACACACACTAAATAATCTACTTTCAATCCACTTTCCATCTGGATTTTACTGTGTGAACTTGCAAAATCCAGTTGGAAAGTGGATTGAAAGTTGATTATTTAGTGTGTGTGACCTCAGCCTTAGTGTCATTCTGGTATATTGGATGGAAACAGATGAGCACTGATCATGTGACCACCACTTTTAAAAGCCCCGTATGATATCTCTTATTACCTGAAGACTCCAGGCGTGTGTTGAGCTGAATTGACAATGTCATTTTAAATTTACTGCATTGCCAGGGCTAGCAGCACACTAGCTCCACATGGTTACATCTGCCATGAGCAATGTGTTTAAGTAACAGCCATGCAGTAAGTGGCCATCTATTTCCACCCATATTAGCATAATTTGACACATAAAGGCTTCTTTTGTTCCAGGTGCTGGATTTCCGTCAGTAATTTCTGATATACCACTTCCTACCTACAGAGGGGAGCAACAAAATCAAAACACTTCAGTAATACCCAGCATAACCTCTTGGATGTATCTTTTTTACTGAGGATTGTTGAGGAGGATCCTTACGTTTAGCCTCAAAGGGAGAATATGGTTATGTATAAGGAGCTCACAAAGAGGGTTAATTTAGAAATTGTACTTTCTAATTTACACTCAGTAGTATTTCTACCTGTTTTAAAAAACAGGTGAAAAAGGAAGTTTAGGTGAAGATCTGATTAAAAGTAGTAGCCTGTGCTGTGCTAAGTCTTTTGGGGAATGGACAGAAATATTTCCTGAATATTCCCTGTTGATAAGAATATTCATCCTTTTATCATGTTGTTCAGTTGATCTCTCCTATCTACAACTACCTCAGTGCCATTTTTTTCTAGTATCCCCATATTTAGTACATGGATCATCTCAACTAATCAAGGCAGCTATAGTGAATAAGAGGCTGTGACTATTCTATATAGCCAATCAGATTAGGCTACATAAATAGACAGCCAATTATGAAAGAGAGCAAATTAAAACAATGTAAATAAATAGGCAAACACTGCCAAAAATTGCACCACCAAAAATGTTTCTAAAAACTAGAGAGATCTAAACTTGCTCCACCAATTTCACCACTCTCTACCTTCTTGGGGCAAACTTGGTTTGAAACTGGGCAATGGCCAGCCTACTTGCAAGTCTGGAGATCATCACATCTTACTCATTTTCTGGACATAACATCAGAAGGCACTGTTTGTGATAAAATATATTTAGACTCAAAGCTAGGGAAACCTATTCCACGGTTTCATTATCTACAACTCAAACACCTCATTGACAATTCAGGGATTAGAGACAGTTTATTGAGAAACTTAACAGGTTTTGAAAAGTTACTCAAATTTAATACTGCAACAAGTAAAGGACTGCTTTCAATTTTATATAGACTCTTACTAGAATTGAGTGAACGCTCTCTACCCTCTTATACTCATTCATGGGATAATGATCTAAATCTTTATCAACTATACATTGGTCTCAGATTTGGAACTCAACTCCTTTTAGGTCGAAATCGATAAATATACAGACTAAGTCCTTTAAGATGATTTCTCGATGGTATCTTACTCCCCTTCAGTTACATCACATTAACTCAACCTCTATGTTGGAAAGGCTGTGGAGAGGATGGCTCTTTTATGCATAATTGGTGGACTTGCAAACACATTAATATCTTTTGGCAATTGGTTCATCAAAATATTCATAGGATAACAGGTTATTTGATTCCTTTCACGCCAGAGATAATGCTTTTAAATTTATGGCAACATTCTTCTGTTCCACTTGTTAGACACAATCTGATTGCTATGTTGTGTGCAGCTGCGAAATAGTCTATAGCTGTGGCATGGAAAAACTCTAAAACTCCATCTGTATCTACTTGGTACCCTTGTGTTTGGGATATTTACATAATGGAAAAGATACTAGATGGTTTGTCCACAAGCAATGATAGCTCCGATATTTCTGTCTTTATTCAGACTTGGTTCCAGTAATTGAGTTTATCTCTGCTAATGACTTGCTTCTAATAGATATAGATATAGATATATAGATATAGATATATAGATATTATAATCTCTCCTCTTTTTGCTTTTGCTATGAGAGTATGCTGGCTTTATACTTGTTTTCAAAATATATATATATTTTTGTCAATTTGACTTGACTTACAAATTATAGTTTTTTAGTAATATTGATCTTATAAACTCATGTCTATTTACGAAAACATACTAGTTTTAAACTTGTTTTCTGAATTTATATATTTTCAAAGTTTGGCTTGCCTTACTTTTTCTATCCTTAACCTTGAATGTTCCAGATGTTACTGTTTTTCTGATATTACTTCCTATGTTGTTTATTATTTGTAACTTATGTATTGTATTTTTAAGTAACTCTGTAATCTGATTCTCTAGAAATAAAATTAAATGATGTTGGGGAGGGTAAAACTAGAAAGATGTTCCAAGTCAGCCCTAATCATTACTAAAACGGACAATTCAAATTTGGGCAAAATCAAAATAAATGCTAGAATAAATAAGATTATATTTGCTGTATGAAAATCCCATTACAGCAGGCACGTGTTTATGATTCTGAATTCTTTATAGCCATTGGGTTTCTGGGCTGATTTTTTTTTTAAGTTTAGCATTTATTGCCAAATTTTGTGGCACTGTGTGAATCTAATAATAGCTCAGTTTACGTAACATATAGGCATAATTTAAAATGAAACAACAAAAAAAGTCATTAATTCAGAATATGACACGTAAGTTAACTCATAAAGACACAGAAATATGGACATAAAACACTACTCTTGCTTATACTATAGTGTGGAAAGAGCTTTACAGTATATGGTGGAATGGGTCTACTCCAGCCTGCAGGCCCTATTCCACCCTACTCTCCAAAGTTTTCCCAACACCTGTAGAGGCTTTTCTTTCTTGAGTAGCCCACCACCAACACCTGAGCTTTTTGGAAATTGCCCGCTGGAAGGGTCGGGACTCCCAGTTTCCCTTCCATGTTCTGAGGCCTTGCCTCAGTGTCTATGTGGAGGTCTATGTGGTACAGAGAATGAGTACCAGCATCAAGAGTTATAAAGTATTTATTAAAAATAAAATGTTCACAAGCGTACTTAGCACGGCACCAGACTGAGCAAGGGATTCAAAAGAAATGGATAAAATACAAATCCTCTCCCTCTCTCTATAGATGCCCTTTCGTTGTTAAAATATAGAACAGGCTCCTTAGCTTTAGGAAGTTACAAGTCTCTACAGAGCTCCATTACCTTGAAGCTTTCTGTAGCTCCCCAGGCCCAGCACATGGCTAATGGCCATCTCCTCCAGACCTCAGTGTCAGGACCCACAGCCAAACAACGAAGTACACGCTTCCAGGAAGGTTTTACTTTTATTGAAAAGCCATAGATGAGCACTGTTAGGAATGATGGGCTACCCATGTGCATAATAGGATATAGGGCATTCGTATGCGCCCCCCCCCAGCAATACCCAATTAAATGGGCTCCTGCGTGCAGGATATTGCAAGACTCTCTAACGGTTGCGAAGCTGGGAATGGAGAAGCTCCGACGGACGATAGACACCACAATCACCACCAGTATAACTTTAAAGATAAGCGTTGCAGCTTTGATGTAATTAAGCGCATGGGAAGGAATGCAAAGCAATTAGAAAACATCTCCACTCTCATGGCAGCGTAGCTGACACTCAGTTAAGAGTTCTGTCTGCCTTGATTGGCCAGCATGAAAGAGCCCTCCTCCTTGCTTCAAAGAGTTTTTATTATATATGTTTCTCCACCCACTAACTAGGTCAGGCCAGGTCAGAGAGATTTTTCCTGGAGATTAGTCCTGGAAATTCTTCCTGGAGCCCTTCTAGTCTAAAGTCCTCCAGATCTCTGTTCCCTACTTGGAAAAAGGGTGGGAGCTTGACCCACCCATTATCTCTCCTGTTAGATCTGTTAGCATTTATATGAAGGTAAGCTGCAAAGCAATTGGAATGACAGGATAGAAATGTTTGTAGAATAACATAAATAACATAAAAATAAAGAAAAGTAGCATTCAAGAATTAAAAATATTAATTGTGGTGGAACGTGTCATCAAGTCATAGCTGACTTATGGCAACCCTGGAGAGTTTTAAACGTAAGAGACAAATAGTGGTGGGTTACCATTGCCTGCCTCTGCATAGCAACCCTGAAGTTCCTTGGAGGTTGCCCATTCAGGTTCTAACCAGAGCTGGCCCTGTTTGGCTTTCAAAATCTGATGAAATTAGACTAGTCTAGACCATCCTGGTAAAAAATGTCAGATATTTCTCTTGATATAAAACATTGATATAACTTTATTGTTGGCTAACAAATGCTGCCTTTCCCCCTCAAAGTAGCCAATATGGCTTGAATCCTAAGGACTGCTCATGGAATGGATTTTTTCCACCTCCCCCTTGCTGCTTTAGCCAGCAATGTTTTCTCTGAAGTTCAGTTCAGCTGGGGTGGGTGGGGGAGGATAAGAGACTGCTCAGTAACAGCAGCATGGAGTGAATTGACTTACAGAAGAAGACTTAAGATACACCCCTGCAGGACAGAATGTGCAGAGAAAAATTCCCAGCTTTCATTTAAGTAGCAAAGATGCACTATCGTAGATACTAAGGGGGGGGGACACTATAAAGTGCCAAAATTTAGTCAAAATAATAAACTTGTACCCAAATGTCATTTAAGTAATTGTTTCATGTTCAGACTTGCCTCCAGTGTTGACCTCATTTTCAAACAAATA